ACTGTCTGACGCGTCTGCCTCCGCGACCCGAAAGGAGAAGCGGCGATGGAAGATGAAGATGAAGATATTAGACTGCCAAAGTTCCAGTTGAACGAATATCACTCTGCAATGGGTTGAACAGTTATTAAATCTTTGAAGGTTGTTTGAAGTATTGTAATTCTAATATTAAAAATCTGTCTTCATAAGTATTTGTGAATAGGCATAGATAATTTGATTTACGTATAATTCACAGCGAATGAATTTCCGAACGTGCTTATTTGCTCGCTTGATTTTTCACTTAATTACTAATTTGCTTCGTGTTTAATTACTTTCATATCTAAGTATTTAGTCCTTTATCTTCTAAATTTCATACTTATATGTTTGCTGATGTATTTATTAACAAAAATTAATTTTACATAGCGCCGGTTAGAATAGTACATATTTTTGAGTTCTCGGGATTTATCATGGCGTAAGCGATTTATCACCATGTAACCGTCATCTTTGGTCCCCACCATTTCTGGTTTCTGATCAACTCGTACTTCCAGACGAAATTTGTTCCCTTCTTCCATTTTGTATCGTTTGTAGTGTATATGTACATGTAAAACTCTAATTCGCTCCAGAATCAATCGCTTTCCTTGAAGAGGTTAATATATATTACCTATACTTGCCATGTACTGATAACGTATATCAATAAAGATAAGTAAAAAACATATTTAGGAATATTGGTTAATGAAGAAATACGAATTTATATGTGAACATGCCTCTGGATTTGCACGGCGTTGTTTGCGCCATTGTTTTGCTTCCAAAGTCCTAAGAAATCTTTGAATAATCCGTCTCCCCGTCTTGCAAGATCGTCAGTGCATAGTACAAAACTTCTGCCTCTTTCTAGAATGTACCTGTTTATGATTCGACTTAATCAGTCGATAATGGATGGGAAGCCCTTGATAGTGCGAAAAATAGGGCTGCATAGCGTTGTGATGTGGCGGTGCTAGAGTGTGAGAGACTTTCGGCAAGTTATTCCTTGGATGCTCTTAACGGCTACGGTTGGTCTCGCTTCAAACGTTAACAGTGGAGTAAAAGTCAATACAGTAAGAGCCTCTAAATAAAAAATCAAATTTGGATTAAAGGGATGAAGTGATGTACCGTGCATTAGATATCACTGTTTTCCTAGCCAACCAATACCGGATTCGCGACCGTCCTTATGGCTGTTTTAAGGGCTGCTAAAACTTCACATCTGTGGATTGTGACTCTGTACGTAGAACGGACCTGTGGTTTGTGAGTGTACTTGATGTTATAATTTGCAGTTCCTTTTTCAACAGTGCAATTTGTTGTATAACTTTTGGTAGTTTTTATAGGTTATCATTGACGATAGTCATTTGCTGATTATTGGCGGATGCGGTGGTGCAAATTTGATCTTCAGCGATATATGGCTTCTGTCGATGTTACCGAACAGCACGTGGTTATGGGAGGAGGTGACGGTGATCAACGCGAGTGCCAGTGCTCCACAGCTGTGGTCTCATCCAGCATGCAAAGTCGGCGACAACGTGGTCGTGGTTAGCAAGGCGCAATCGATGTCAGTGGACACGGTCGAACGACATCGTTCGATGAGCAGCAGCACGCACCTTGGCGAACGTCGCCTGCATAACTGGGTGCCTCCTCAGGGCAACCTGATTCCACCGCGCAGGAAGCTGATAATCTCGCGCTCGTTTGAGGACAGGCAAGATGAAACCAGTTCTTCAGGATCGGATGTCGAAGGCTCTTGCAATCTCTATCGAACGCAGAGTTTTCCAGCGGTTTTAAGTGACGCAATCCCTAAAATCGTCGTCATCGCCGATACGAACCGCACTAAAGCTGAATTTCAAACCAGTAATAATGAGATACCAAAGCTTCAGCTTTACGATGATGCCCGTGCGAAGGCCACATCAATTGTCAACGGAAGAAGCGTTCTTCCAGACATGCCGGGCACTTCTTGGCAGGGTTACCCTCTTTCACGGACCGCACCATTGAATGCAATCCGTGACGACGGCTTGGTGAAGGTCAAGCATATGGAGAGGCACAAAAACAGACAAAAGCAGCTGGATGCACTCAGGTACTTGCTGAGTTGTACTAATTTAAATGACAGATCGAACCTACCTCGAAAATATGTTGAACGTTTTGCTAATACTAGCACCGTTCACGTTGCCTGTTCTTAAACCTTCGAATCAAATTGCGTTTTTTGTAACACTTGTTTTTTAAATGAAGAAGCTATGAGAAGGAACGGGATGGTTTGTTGAATAGTTTCAAAGCAGAGCGTAATTATGATCTCAGTTTCGTGTTCGTGAGTGTATGGCGAATGTAATTTTACTGTTGATAAAGAAGTTGAAAAGCACAGTTCGTCTATGACAACTGATATACAGCAGTGCGTAGCTCAGGTGACTCCCATTCATATCGACCTTCACCCTTTCCTTGTTCAAAAGCCCTTGATTTTTTTCCGCAGGACACCACATTGACTCAGTGTTATTCAGATTAATAGAAGCACCTGTCGAATTCAGATGTGGCCGTCGGA